TGGTTTCTTATAAGGCCTCCCCTTGGCTTGAACAGGCCTGCCTTTTGTCATGTTCTCATGTGGCCCCACATTCCTCTGTGTCCATACATCCCTGGTGTCTTCTGAGTGTCCTAACTCCTCTTCTTACAAGAAAAAAAGTCAGATTGGATTAGGGAACACCTGAAGGGCCTTATTTTGTTTTTTGTTTTTTTAATCTTTTTTTTTCTTTAAGATTTTATTTATTTTTTGACAGAGAGAGAGAGATACAAGTGAGGGAGATACAAGGGAGGGAGAGAGAGGGAACACAGCAGGGGGAGTGGGAGAGGGAGAAGCAGGCTTCCCGCCGAGCAGGGAGCCCGATGCGGGGCTCGATCCCAGGACCCTGGGATCATGACCTGAGCTGAAGGCAGACACTTAATGACTGAGCCACCCAGGCGCCCTCCTCATTTTGTTTTAATTACCTCCTTAAAGGCCCTATCTCCAAGAACAGTCACATTCTGAGGTACTGGGTGTTAAGACTTTAACATAGGAATTTTGAGGGAACACAATTCAGTAGATAATGTACAGTATATATTCTTTCAATTGCTTTTTTTCATTCCACATAATTATTTTGGGATTCATCCATGTTGCTGCTTATATCATTAGTTTACTATGATATGGGCATATCAAATTTGTCTATCCACTCTCCTGTTGATGGATATTGGGTTGTTTTCAGGTTTTTGCTTTTGCAAAGAAAACTGATATGAACATTCATATACATGTCTATATGCAGATACAAGTTTCAATTTCTCTTAGGTAAATACACAGGAGTAGAAATGCTGACTCATGTTGTAGATATATGCTTAATACTATAAGAAACTGTTAAACTCTCTTCCATCATAGCAGGTGTGAAGTGTATCTTATTATAGTTTTAATTTGTGTTTTCCTAATGATTAATGATGTTGAACATCTTTTCACATATTTGTCACCCATATATCTTCTTTGAAGCGGCCACTCAAGTATTTTGCTCACTTATTTTTGGGTTATTTGTCCTCTTACTGAGTTGTAGAAATTCTTTATATATTCTAAATGCAAGTCCTTTGTCAAATAAATGTTTTGAATGTATTTTTCTCCCAGCCTGTTGCTTGCCTTTTCATTTTCCTAACAGTGTACTTTGAAGGGCAATGTATATTTTTTTAAATCACAGAAGTCTAATTTGTTTTTTTCTTTTATAGTTTGGGTTTTTTGTGTCCTATTAAGAAAAACTCTTCCAAACTCAAGGACACTAAATTTTTCTCAAGTATTCTTCAGAAGTTTTATGGTTTTAACTCAAATTAGGCCTATGATCTATTTTGAGTTAATTTTTATATAAGGTGTGAGGTAACGGTATGGTTCATTTTTTTAATATAGGAATATGCAGTTGTCCAGAACCATTTGTTGAAATTCTCCTTTCCTCATTGCTTACATCCTCAAATTCAGACATTATCATCTACGCTGCCTTCCTTGAATGACTGCAGACAGCACTCAATGAGATATCTGTAAGCATGCTCTGTGAAGTGGAAAACTACTAGAAATCTAAGTCACTATTGTTATTAGTTAGTTCTGAGTAGATCCTAACCCAAAGACGAGTAACAGAAAAAGTATTAGGCCAGAAGTCGGAGAGCATGACCTGTGGTTTGTCCCTACTCCTTTATTAGCCTTCAAAACACCTTTTATCCCAGAACTTATTCCCTCTTCTGTGAAGTAGGAATTATGGTATCCAATGGTTTACTTCAGAGATATTTTATGAAGATTATATAAGATTATGCATTTTAAAATGCTTTGCAAATTGTAAAGCATTATAGAAATCCAAGATGTTGTCTTTATATCTAAAAATCCCTGGACTACATAATGAGGCCCATTCCTGCCTTGCATAGTAGTATAGGGCCATGTATATGACCGTGCAAGCTGAAGCTGTCAAAAGATCTTAATAATCAATAGGACAAATTATGATTGTTCCATAATCTTTTCCAGGGCAGCTATTTATTCTATAACTATTCACATTCTATTAGAATCTCACTCCTAGTATTACTACTTTTCCTTTCTTTGCTTCAATTTCATCTTTGTTGACCAATCAACTTTTGATAATCCATTTTTATAAAATGTAATGTGGGCTTATCACCGAAAAATAAGGAGGCAACACAACTACATGCTTTGCTATCTGTGCGTGAGCTGAATAACAGACACAGAGTGACCAACTGTAGACCTATTTTAAAAGGAGTAAAAAAAAAAAAAGAAGAAAGGAGAAAAGAAGTGACATGATTAGTCAGTGATCATGATGAGCACCTGTTATTTACATAGTAATTTGCAGACTGAAGAGTTAGACGTGACATTTGTACTTTATGCAATTACTCTCACTTAATATCTTGTGATTACTGAAATTTGAATTGTATTGTTGAGGGACTGGTGTTCTTTAAACCACACTAACTGAAATTTTTGCATACCGGAGCCATGGAAAGTGAGGACCACATATACTTGCAATGTCCTAAGATGTATGAATCCTCCAGTTAGTCTTCTCAGCATTTAAAAAGAGGGAAAAATTAACTATTTCTCTGGCTTTCTTGATGTGATTCCTTAGGAAACTTCTCTATTAATTCAAGAAATGTGTGGTAAAGAAATCAAAGAAACTTTCTATGATTGTCACTTAAGAAGGCTTATTGAGATTAAATTACACTGTGGTATAAGGTAGATAAATCAGTGGACTTTAAAACAGAATTTGGCTTAATAACTGTTGATTTTAACAGAAAAGTAAAAAGGTTTACATGATTTTCCCTAGTTTTAATCATTGAACTTTATTGTTCATATCTTTGCATCTCTTTTCTCTATAGTTATTATTCTTCTTGTACCCAGAGTAAAGAGTTCAAGCCAGATCAAATGTTAAATGTACCCCATATCCTAAAACAAGCTTCTTACAATCCCCAGAGCCTCATTTTTTAAACGATTTTTATTTTATTTTGAGAGAGAGAGAGCACGAGCGGAAAGGGCAGAGGGAGAAGGAGATAGAATCTCAAGCAGACTCCACACTGAGCGTAGAGCCCGATGTGGGGTTCTATCTCACAACCCTGAGATCAGGACCTGAGCTGAAACCAAGAATCGGACTCTTAACTGACTGTGCCGCCCAGGTGCACCCCCGGAGCCTCATTTTAAAGGCTTGTTTGCATTGGGTTTCTTGGGGGCTAATTGCACATGCAGGGATGGGAATTATATAATTGGGAACTTTGACTCTCAGAGTAGCACCAAATTGTTGGCATTATCTCTTAAAATGTCTAATAGTGGTTCATTACCATGATTTCAGAAATATTCATCAATGTATTTCGGTACATTCTCCCCACAGAAGGTAGTAGAATAAATTATTTTAATTATCTGGGAAGGTATTCATTACTTTTATAATCATAAAGTTGTCTTAGGGACGCCTGGGTGGCTCAGTTGGTTAAGCAACTGCCTTCGGCTCAGGTCATGATCCTGGAGTCCTGGGATCAAGTCCCACATCGGGCTCCCGGCTCGGCGGGGAGCCTGCTTCTCCCTCTGACCCTATCCCTTCTCATGCTGTTTCTCTCTCTCTCTCAAATAAATAAATAAATAAAATCTTTAAAAAAATAAAGTTGTCTTAGATTTGAATGAACCAACTAAACATAAAGGTATTGATCCAATTATGGCAGTCACTGTCTTACCCGAATTTCTATCATAACCACCTCAAGTCTAGTGCAAGAAACGAACACAAATAGATAATTAAAATATAATTTGTTAAGTTGGGAAGAGCAGTCACAAGACAGTATGAGGCTATCGGAGAAACAGTCAAACCTAGCTTTGAGGAAAACAAGAAAGGTCTGGCTGAGCTAGCTCTGAAAGATGGCAGGAATTACCTCAGCAAAAAAGGGAGGATGTATGGTTCTTGCAAGAACTGCGGGTTCAAAGGCTTGGAGACAAGAGAAAGAGAATGAATTCCAGAAACAAAAAGAAGTCTGTGAAAGAGCTGAGACAAGAAAGATGAAATTTATGCCATGATGCTAAAGAGCTTTACCATGATCATTACAGAGAGCCAAAGAAGAGTTTTAAAGGGATTTGTGTTTTAGGAAAATCATTTCAGCAGCCACTGTGAGTAGATGGGCATGGAGGCAGTGAAGACAGACCAGCTGAGAGATGAAACAGGCAGATTCAATCTAAGTTAGCAGCAGTGGGAACTGAGAGATGGGGGAGGATTCTGGAGGTATTAAGGAAGTAGAATCAAAAGGACTTTATGACCACTTTTAAATATCACTGGTGATTCAAAGTTTTCTGGCTTGGACAACGGGGTGGTTACATTAAATAAGATAGAGAATAAAGGAGGAAAGGTCAAGATGGAGGAGGAAAAATGGTAAAGTAACTTGGAAAATTTTTTACTTTGAAAGGAACGTGAGGCATAAAATGAGATTTCCTACCTAAGATTAAAAATGCGGTGTATTTTGTTTCTGCTCTTCGGATGGCCTGGGAAAGAGAAATCCTGTAAGTAACTGACTGGGGAGGAGAGGGGCACTAGCTTCACCCAGCACAGGGAAGCAATGTGGAGGGCCCTTAGAGACAAACAAAGAGCAGCCTCCTGTTGGGAGGGTAGATTGGCAGTTTTATTGTCCAGGAGAAAGGATATAAATAGCCCCATTGCATCTGTATGTCTAAACAAAACAGCCAAGGAAGGTGATCAGGGGTTGGGTTACCAAAAGTGACAATGTCTTAGGCTACTAGACTTTATATTTTAGATGGCTCATGCTCTGAGAAGTAGCATGTGCATAAGGACAAGGTTGAGGGACTTCTATAAATAACCTTATGATAGTTGCTTGAATGTAAGACTTGAAATTCACCATGTATTCTAGCATATTCAAGAATATGCCCAGGCTACCCACTGCTAGCTATCAGAGCTCTTCATCATGGTCACAGGTCAAAATGCCTAGTACTGAAAGCCATACAACCCATTTTTTATCTTTTCCCAAATGCAAACAGGAAAATAATCAAAACCATTTTTAGCTTACATGGAAGAATATCCCGATATCTGTTTTTTTCTCTGTTGCGTAGTTCATTCCCAGAGTTGAATGCATCAGGTATGTTCTTATAATCTAAAGTCTTTAAAAGGTAAGAAATATAAGTCATGTATTTACTATAACAAAAAGATAAAGAAAAAAAATCTGCTCTTGCTTAGTGTTCATGATCCTTAAACCTCTATATGGCATGACCTGGTGTTAAATGTGTTGTATGATAAGTGAAGTCAGAATCCCATTAAAAATACTATATACTGAGGGTTTCAGAGGGGACGGGGGTAGGGGATGGATTAGACCGGTGATGGGTATTAAGGAGGGCACATACTGCATGGAGCACTGGTTGTTGTACGAAAACAATGAATCGTGGATACCACATCGAAAACTAATGATGTATTGTATGGTGACTAACATAACATAATAAAATAAAATTTAAAAAAATAAAGAAAAAAATAATAAAATATCTCAAATTTGAGATGTCAATCAACAAGTTGCTTGATAAGAAAATACTAATCTTGGGATGCCTGGGTGGCTCAGTTGTTAAGCGTCTGCCTTCAGCTCAGGTCATGATTCCAGGGTCCTGGGACCAGGTCCCGCATCAGGCTCCTGCATCAGGCTCCTTGCTCAGCAGGGAGCCTGCTTCTCCCTCTGCCTGCCGCTCCCCCCCCCCGACTTGTGCTCTTTCTCTCTCTGTATCTCTCTCTCTCTGACAAATAAATAAATAAAATCTTTAAAAAAAAAAAGAAAATACTAATCTCTCTGGACATACTTTTTCCCTTGAACTTCAATATTTTCCTTTTCATTAAAAAAAAAACAATAAAGAACATTCACCTCTTAGGACCTACTCATTAATCTATCATTTTATAAACAAAAAAAATAACAGCAAGAAAAATATATAAATATATAAACCAAAAAGAAAAAAATGTCTCACAATTTACTCCTTGCCCCATGAAGGAATTATAGCCAGGATACCAATTAAAGATTTCTTCCTTTCAAAAAAAATTCATTACCAAGTATGAATTCAATAAACATGACTGAACATTTAATACATACTTAGCATTCTTCTAGATATTGGAATAAAGAGATGCATCTGAAAATGGCCCCCTCCTTAAGGAGCTATCAGAGCAGTCTGAGGGGTAATCAATGCCACAGAGATGTTAGTACAATGGTAGTGCTGATGACTGCCATCAGAAGTTAGTCATATGAAAGTCTGTGTGTGTGAAAGGAAAGGAGAGCTGAGGTGAGCAGGTTATCACACCAGGTGGAAAGGACAGGAATAAAGGCATGGGGGCGTACATCTCCTCTTGGGGAAACAGTGAATAGCATGGTAACAAGAGCAGAGAGAACATGATCTAGCCCAGACGGAAACTAAAACTACCTAGGAAGGCCTTGTTTCATATACAAAAGAAGTGGAGATGTATCCAGCCCTAGTCTATTAGAATATTTGTGGATAAAGCCGAGAATCTGTACTTTTCAAAAGCTCTTCAGTAACCCTTGGGTAGCCAACTTGGCACCACCAGTCTTTAAATAAGTGTTGGCAACTACTGGCATGGCAAATGAGAAGCTAGTGAAGGTTTTAAATAGGATAATATGATCAGATTTTTACCTTTCTTATCTTTATGCAAGCCAATTATAAAATTAATTTGGAAAAATATCTGTAGGAAAAACTAGAACAATTTTGTAAAAGAAGAGAACTGAGGGAAGACTAGTATTAACAAACAGTAAAAGATAACATAAAGCTACACTAATTAAGAGAGCTTGGTACTAGTACATGAATAAACAAATCAATGGAAGAAGTCCAAGAATAAATTAAAATTTATGTAGAACTTCAGTATATAATAAAAGTGGCCTTTTGCATCACTGAAGAACAATTTCAAGAGGATCTGGGGACAACAGGATAGCTATATAATGCTGAGTCCCTACCAAATACCTTAAATTCTAGCTGGATCCATTTTAAAAAATCACAAAAATATTAGAAAAAGACATGAAGTAATTATTATGATCCTAGAGTGAAAAGGGCACCTACAGGATACAGAAAACCCTGAAGTCCCAATAGATTGTCATATCTGACCACTACAAATTAGCTATTTCTTCTTACTAAATGTGTATATGTGCACATGCACACTTCTGTGTAGCACAAACAAGGGGGAAAATTTACCATATATAGCACATACAAAAGAGACAGTTTCTTCATTATATAAAACTATTAATAAGAAAAAGAATAAACAGAAAATTGGGCAAAGAATCGGAACAGTTCACCAAAAATAAATATAAAAAGCTTAAAAACATATGGAAAGCTATTCCTTTGTTCTCAAATAAGTGTCAATATAAATCAACAAGGAATCATTTGTCATATAAGACATAAGCAAAGATCCAAAAATTTGACAGCACAAAATACTGGTTGTGTTTCTAGTAACTTGTTATAAGAATACTCATACATATGCACAGCCATATGAAGAGGGGTAATTGCTGCTCATAAATAACAAAGACTAGAAAAATCTAAATGTTCACCACAGGGGCCTACTTAAAGAAAAAAAGTCTTTATCTATATAATTAACTATACTATGAAATACTTAAAAATAATGAGATAAAAAAATGAGATAGAGCTATATGTACAAATAATATATTTGGAAATTATTTCCTATGTGAAATATTTTTCTAAAAAAGAAAAAGGAAAGAAAGGGTAGAATAGTTACCAAAGTACATGCTGATAGTTTTCTAGACACTTATACGACAAACTTAAATAGTGGAAAGGGGGCCTAGAAACTCAAGAGAGAAAAACAAAGAGACTATCCTTTTATAACCTTTTATGCTATTTAACTTTTCTTTTACTATATAAACCTATTACTTTAAAAACAAACTTAATATTTAAAAACAAAAAACAAAGTACTCAACCTAAAAGAAAAGATTAAAAAGGAAAAAGAAAAAACCCCTCTGTTAGTAATGTGGAAAATCACATACAGACTTTTGTTAAGACCAAAATATTTACCATAAATTCCTGGAGGATTTCAAATTCTGCTACTTTTTTCTCAAGCATTTTAAAACAATCCTTGATGACTGATTGCTCATGAAAATTGAATAGTAATGGTCGAACCTGAGCCAACTGAGCTAGCTCCCTTTCAGAAACAATTTGTATACCTAAGAAAAAGAAAAATTCACATTTTTAAGCTACTCATATGTATGTGAAGGGAGATTTTATTTTGTCGTGTTTTCTCTTAAGTGAAGGCCCAGCCACTTAAGGATTAATGGAAATTTATTTTTCCAGAAGTGAAGAGTCTATTACCTTGAAAGAAAGAATCCTTGTTTTAGAAAAATCATGACTATGTACCTTGAAATTACACAAAACCCACTATTCTTAGAAAAAACTGTTAAGTGCTATAAATATAAAAGATGCTATAGACTGAGAAGTATTCTGCTTTATAGTGTGAATTAAGTATATGTACTGACAATTGTGCCAAGGCAAGCATATACAAACAAGACTTGGATGGGAAAAAGTGAGAACTTTTGCCCTCCCTCAGAACAAGTATTTGAAAGCCCCTGGAGCCTTAGATGAGAGGATGTGGACAGTCTAACACACCTCTTACTCTAAAACAGATCAAGCACACATATGCACATACAGACACACACACAACACACATACACATACCCACCAAGGATAGAGAGGCTCTATATAATTAATAAGACTAAAAATATATATAATATGCAACATAATTGTATATAATAAATATTTTGATATACATTATATAGTTACACATGTATAACCAATAATAATAGAAGAGAATACATGCTATTTAATAGTACACATGGAGGTTTTTTATTTTAATGATGATTTTTTAGGCCATGTTGACAGTCTAGATTCCAAATATCTGAAATTTTACAGATCATGTCCACTGACCAAAATGCAATAAATCTAGAAGTCAATATTAAAAGAATATTTTTTAAATTTCAGAATTTTGAGGTAATGTGCTCAAGTGAAGCCAGTTCTCAAAATCTCTTTCCAAAGCCAACTAATATGAACAAAAATCAAGTTAATATTAGCAAAAAAATATATACAAGAAGAAATTCCACAAAAGAATGGGCATAAAAAAGATAAAAGCTTCTAAAAATATGCACAGTGCTGTAAAACTCTTCTTGTCTTAGAACCCTATTTAACCAAAAGCTCTCTATAGGGGTGGGAGTAAGGGACTGTTGGGTTGGGAAAGACAGTCACAGAAATCCTAAAATTTCTCACAAATATCTCTAACCTTTGTATGAGAGGAGGTCTAGGAAGCCCAGAGGGGGAAATAAAATTCCACAAGAGTAGAAGCCATTTTGATCATCTTTGATCCCAAACAGAAAAATCCTTAGAGCTCTCCCCATGTATTCCAGCACTGCTGGAACAGAAGCTGAGAGCAGGGAAGGAGAAGAGGAATAAAAACGTAGAATGACGGTAATGGACCCTGTCATTGCTTTCCCAACACTGATTCTACCCTGATGGTTAGTTAGAGCCATATGTGATCATTCCATAATAATTCCCTTGCCAGTGAATAATTCAGCAATATGTAGGTGATTTGAGCCAATGGGAAGTAAGGAGAAGTTTACTCAGGGCTTATGGGCAAAAGAAGCAAGCCTTTCTCCCATCTCCACCCATTGTCCAGACATAAGTCCAGAGTATAATTATGGCCCTGATTATTACAAGCAGCCTTGCTGTGACATAAAAGGAATGAACTGAGTACAGCAAATATGAAAAAAGAAAACATAAAAAACCTATGGTGTTAACGACATCACTGAGCGATGTGATCATATTGAACTTGGAATACTGCCTACCTTTGTACTTCCATTATGGGAGAAAATATGTTTCTTTATCATTAACATCATTTTCAATTTGGTTTCTTTTTATTGCAGCCTGGCCCAAGAATTCCAATCAAGGTGAATAAGTCAGGCCTCAGCTACAGATCATGGCAATCATCGCAGTAGGGGAGTTTTTGCAGAAAGGCAGTTTACAGGAAGGGATTTTATCTAGCTGTTTGGTGCTGACATCATTGGACAGGTTAGAAGAGCAGGTTCTTCCCCATATCATGATCCAAAAATAACACCACAAAATGGTCTGCCACAAGAGGAGCTAGCTCTGCTGTAATGAGGAATCTGAGGGAGCTGGACACCACTGCTGTAACCACTAGCTCCTGGATGCGACTACTTTAGCAACCATGGAGGAATTAGAAAGTCACCACTACACCTGCTGGCTCATAATGTACCACTTTAGTTATAATGAGACACTAGGAATGCCATGCCTGTTATGGTGTGTATCAGCAACACGGATGCTTCTCTTCACATTTCAGTCTTGGCTAAGTGCATATGATTGGCCAAACCCATACTAACTACCAGGATTTCTGGGAAATGTAATTTTCAGTTTTCTTGCCTGGACCCTACAGAAAGACACACTAGGAGGAGAATGTGATTAATGTTGAGTAAACTAGTCTTTAACATCTGCAACACAACTCATCCATACCCATTGAGTTTTCTGCTCTTTTCCCCCAACCCTTCTAAACACTTGTCATTATCCTCTCAGGCAAAATCCAGCCCTCAAAGTGTAGTTTATAATAGAAGATAACTAATCAAACCAAATCAAATAGAATGGGAATCAACAAGAATTCATTCATGACGGGGCGCCTGGGTGGCTCAGTCGGTTAAGCGTCTGCCTTCGGCTCAGGTCATGATCCCAAGGTCCTGGGATGGAGTCCCACATCCGGCTCCTTGCTCAGCAGGGAGTCTGCTTCTCCCTCTGCCTGCCACTCCCCCTGCTTGTGTACACACACTCTCTGTCAAATAAATAAATAAAATCTTTAAAAAAAAAAGCATTCATGCTCAAACAGCAAAATCAAAGAGATGCAGAACTATATATGTTAGTGAACAAGCTGGAAATAAAACACAAAATGAAGAAAAAAATGAGTAATGCAATATGGTATGCAAATAATTTCAATCCATTCTGAATGGATTACCTAAATTGTAGATCTATCATCTGTAGGAAGAAGTAATAAGAGTATAAATTATTTTATTATTTTTTTTTTGTAGGTTCCACACCCAGATGGAGCCCAATGTAGGGCTTGAACTCAGGACCCTGCGATCAAGACCTGAGCTGAGATCAAGAGTCAGATGCTTAACTGACTGAGCCACCGAGGCACCTTCAGAATATAAATTATTTTAAATGAGTTTAAAAGTAAGATTAAAAAAACAGAATGACCTTTTACATGAGGTTCCTAGAGTAGTCAAATTTGTAGATACAGAAAGTAGAATAGTGGTTGTCAGGTGCTGGGGGGAGGGAGAATGGGGAGTTAGTATTTAATGGGTACAGAGTTTCAGGAGAGGAAGAGGAAAAAGTTCCAGAGATGGATGGTGGTGTTGGTTGCACAACAATAAAAATGTACTTAATACCACTGAACTGTACACTGAAAAATGGTGGATTGTAAATTTTATGTTCTGTATATTTTACCACAATTTTTTAAGATGCCACTAACAAGCGAGATTCTTTGCATCACTGCAGTCTGTTACCCAGAGATCAGCTGCTATTATAAGATTAGATTCTCCTCACGCTCATGAGAAAATTGTCAACAGCTATATCAGAGCCACACATTTTCTTGCTTACAAGCTCTCTCTTAATAAAGCAAGGACTAAGTTTCCCAAAAGATTCCAACAAACCTTTACTTGAATTTCAGGCAAGTTGGGTATCTGAACCATACCCGGCAAAAGGGATAGGTTTATCTTCAGACCAGTCAGGGTCATACCTTGAGTTGAGAGCAATTCCCCAACTTGCCTTGCTGTAACTTGATGGAAATGAGACAACAGGAGTGCTGAAGAATCAGCCACGGTGGTCACTACTGCCTCTACACAACATCCGCAGCAACCTTGACTCAAGTGCACAGACTAGGGTGTAAAATCTGTGTGCAAAATTCAAGCCATTCTTCCAGCCCTTCCCCAGCTGTCTGCTCCCAGTGCTAGCGACACTTCCCTACATCTCAGTTCTGATGCCTCCCCATGTCTTACCCAACAGTAGTTGGGGAGGTCACATTTTTGGGGGGACAGGGGAGTAGATGGAGAAGGCATCAGAAAAGAGGCCACATTTACATTTGTATCAATATCATCTAGGAAGTGCCTTGAAAATAGGGGTTCCTGGCTCTAAGCCAAGAAAGGCTGAATCAGAACCTTAAATAAAAATTAAATTAAAAAACAACAACAACAGAATGAGGTGAAAAATAAGTTTATAGACCTAAGAAAACAAAGGTCAAATGTACATGATTATAGAATTAATAATTAAATCAAAAACTACAAGAAACAAAGTAGACAGCTGAAAATGAGCTTATTCATAGGACAAAGACGTGTACATAAATTAATGAAGAGAAGAAAAGACAAAAATACAAAAGATAGTGCATGTAAGGGCTCATTAGAAGTTCAGAAGAAAAACTTAAGATAGGGTGAGGAACTCAAGAAATCTTCCCCTCGTGGTACAAGCTTGGAGAGGGAAGCAGCAGCTTCCAGGTAGGAAAGGTACGATGCCTCATTCTGTTCCTTTTTCTCTATCTCCCCTAAGGATCAAAAGCATAAGAAGTTGGGAAAGGGGCAGCAAACCCTATTATCCACAAAGTACAGGTTAAGACACAATAACATTGGGAATTAGGAGGGGAGAAAAGCATCCTTTGCTCAGCCCATATCCTCTACCCCTAAAGAAAGGACAGGTAATTAAGAAAGCCCCATCCCTGACCAGGGATGAACCAGAGACACTGCACCTGCCTGCAACTGATGCTGAACAAGGACAACAGAGAATGAACTCCCACACCCAATTAGGTGAGCAAGTAACATAGTTACAAATAAGAGCACTCTATTGCTGGGGAATAAACAAGGTCATGGACAGGAACCTTCTCTGAGATGCAGGTGTATTGGGGACATTTAAGCAAAGGGTAGACATTGAAATAAACCCTCTGGCATTTTCCATTCTAAGCACAAAGTAACAATACAGGAATTTGAAGACAGTAATACACTAAGAGTAAGCACAGCAACATCAAAACCCAAACTCTGCTCAATTCCTGACTAAATTGACTCAACTCATCAAACTGAAGGCCTACAAAAGGAAGAGGTATGTCTATTCCTGTTTACCTCAGTCTCTA